ATGGATTAGAAGTTCAACAGTGAGTCACAACTGTGAGTATGTCTGTACACGACCCGGAGCTGTCGACACCAAACCCTCTGGCTGTCCTGTGAAATACACACGATGCTTTCCCGCCAAGCTGAGTTGGTATCTGCACCCCATGATTAAGGTAATCTAAGGAGAGCCCTGTACCAAGTGAAGAGAACCATTCCTTCAGGTTCCAAGTCATAATGGACACCCCAAGCTCCCCTTAGCATCTGATTGCAGCTTTTCTCTGAAGAATTCTTCCTTCCCTTGGCTTCCCTCTGGGAAGCACTTCCTGAGAAAGTGGTCAGCCTGTCCCTGGGCAACTCAATAGAAGATGAAAATAGTCCAGCCCCCTCCCCCTCCTCCCGGCCTGAGGTCTCAGCAGACTGGAGCACATGCGTTGCCTGCTCGGACTTGGTCTCTTGAGCACCAAGCCAGGACTCACCCCTAGCACACGAGGTCTGGTCCCAAAACAAACCTTGCCTTTCCTACCCCCCCCCCCCCCCCCCCGCCTCGCAGCCTCACTGCCTTCCCATTTTGGATTATAGACACAAGTACAGTATAATCATTTTGTTCATTTAAAATGTGATTTTAAAGCGTTCCCCTACTTGTCAGTTCCCTGTCGCCACCCTCCTACTTCCCAGAGTGATTTTTCATTTTAACAGTCATCAAGTGGAAAGGATTTTGTTGTTTGATCCTGTTGGCAATTGCCTGTTCTGCAGATTCTAGTGAATTTGTTTACTGTTTAATCAAGTGCTGTGCTTTCCTGAGTGTTAACTATTTTCACCCTTCCAGCTCACAGAGTAGGCACTAATCTTAAACTGATAGAGCTATTCCGTGGTGATTTCCTGTTCTCACAACAGGTCCACAAAATTAGAGGGATTAATCTAGACCCTACACAGGGGGTTAAAGAGGGTTTGTCGGTGGCCAGTGTGTGAGTGCTGGCCAGGTCACTCAGGGCTCTCACACTTTCCTAGGCTCAGCCTTTGCCTTTTAGTTCCTTTTTTTTTTTTTTGAGTGTGTGTTCATGTTTTTTTTTTTTAATTTTTTATTTATTGAATCACCGTGAGAATAGCCACATAGCTTTCCAGTTTAAGTCTTGTTTGGTCATACGATGATCAAACACCCATCCCTTCGCCAGTGCACATTTTCTACCACCAAGAACCCCAGTAGTACATTGTAAGCGGTAATGTGAAGCCAGTGGGCCAGTTTGTCCTGGGTGGGATCCTCTGTGTCCTGAGGAAAAAGCAAAATTAGATTTTGATTTTTTTACTGGGTTTCCATTTGGTGGTTGTGTATGTTTCTGTGGGGGGAGGGGGAGGAAGAGGGAGGACTGACTTTGTTTTTAAATCCCCCTCCTAGAGAGCAGTGGGACCTTTTATATTTTTATATTTTTGACTTTTATATTTTTGACATTTCCTCCCCTCTTTTGGGGGGTGATGGTATATTTATTTGTTTTTGCCCAACTGTGCTTAGGGTTATTCCTGGCTCTGTGCTCAGAGATCACTTCTGGTGGCACTTTGGGGACCATATATGGTGCCAGGGCTCGAACCTGGATCCCACTGTATTCTCTGGCCCTATCTTTGGCTTTGAAAGATTATTTTACAAACTGTCGGTTCTCACTCTTCCACTTTCTTCCCATTTCTGTCTTCATTCCTTGACTTCTTGCTTCCTTTCAGAGTAAAGCAGATGCTACATCAAACCTGTTTCAATACCTCACAAAAGAAAATTTCAGAAGTTCCTGAAGGGTAATTTCTTTGCTAGCATTCCCTTTCTTTCTTTCCTTCTTTCTTTCTTTCTTTCTTTCTTTCTTTCTTTCTTTCTTTTTAATTTTTATTAGTGAAACACCATGAGGTACAGTTGTAGACTTACAAATTTTTGTGCTTGGGTTTCAGTTATACAATGATCCAATACTCATCCCTCCACCAGTGCCCATTCTCCATCATTTACATTTTAAAAAATTTTTTGTTAGTGAAACACCATGAGGTACAGTTGTAGGTTTACAAGTTTTTGTGCTTGGGTTTCAATTGTACAATGATCAAACACCCATCCCTCCACCAGTGCCCATTATCCACCACCATGGGTCCCAGTATCCCTCCCCCCCCCCCATCCCACCCTGCTTCTGTGGCAGTGTATTCTCTTTTGTTCTTTCTCTCCTTTTGGGTGTTGTAGTTTGCAAAAGAGGCAATCATGTTTGGTCTATAGTCTACTTTCATCATAGCATTCCATTTCTTTCTGTTGTAGTTATTGTTGTTGTTGACTTTGAAACCACACCTGGTAGTGCTCAGAGATCACTCCTGGCCATGCTCAGGGGACTATATAGGGTGTTGGGTATCAAACCTAGGTCAGACATGTGCTAGGCAAGTTCCCTACCCACTATACTATCATTCTGGCCCCATGTTCCATTCCATTACTCTGGGCAGTTTCTAGTTTGAGATTGGCCATGGTAAGGTTCCAGAAATATTTGATGAATGACTGAGTCTGTGGTATTATCCCTTGGGCAAAATCCTAATATGCAAGCATTGTGCTTCTTTTGACCTACCTCTCTGATGAGCCTTGGTCCCAGACTCTTTATTCCAGTGCAACTCTTTTTCACTAATATGAGAACTGCACTGGCAAAATCGTTTAAAGATTCCTAGATAAACTGCCTCTGTACATCTCATGAAATTAAGTTTCACTAGGTTCAGTTTTAATGAAACACGTGTTAACCCATTTCTTTTGCCTCTACTTCTCAAAATTGTTGAATTTTAAACTCTGACTTCGCAATACATTGAGGCCTATGGTCCATGATAGTTACATTTTCATGCCTGTAAAACACATGGAAGCCACGTGATGGCATTGAAACACAATAGGAAAATTTTACCCCCAACAAGTTTGCATTTTCCATGTAATTGGAATAGGGTATCTTCAGCTAACTTTGTGTGTGTGTGTGTGTGTGTGTGTGTGTGTGTGTGTGTGTGTGTGTGTGTGTTTTGGGAAGCAGAAATCACTTAATTAGAAATTACTTAAGGCTAAAACAGCAAACAAATGAGCTTTTTCTCTGTCCATTGGGGAATTCATACTTATCTTTCAAAAGAGTGGGAAAGAGTATAGGAATTTATCCGAGGAATGGTAATCACAAAGTTTCTAGGTTTGATTCAGAAGATTGAAGTGTCTATTGGGCTCTACTCCCAGGCAGGCCAGTCTCATTACCATCCTGTCTTCAAAAAACAAAAGAAAACAGAATTCAACTGATGGAATTTTCAAGCTTTACTTGGTTTTATTCAGCAATTGATGAATCAAGACAGTATCCAGTCTAGCAGATAGAAAGGACCCGTAAGTCACTATAAAGAGAAAGACTACCAGTACAGACAGAAGAAAGCACATGGAACAAGGAAGTTGTACTAGTCAAAAACCACAGGGATTGTAAAGATACTTTTCATAAAGCAGGTGGCAGGGTTTTGTTAGACATATTATTTGGCTAGTGCCCACCAGGGGATTTCTGATTTGCTGATTTAAGTTTCCATTGCAGTGAAAGCTGAAACTATAATTAAGTCTCTTTGGTAGGGGAGTATGTGTGTGTGTGTGTGTATGTGTGTGTGTGTGTGTGTGTGTGTGTGTGTGTGTGTGTGGAGGGGGGAGGGGAGAGCAAGGGGGCAGTTAGTGGGAGGAGTGCTCATAAGTACAGCACTTGTTTTGCATGTGTGAGACCCTGGGTTGGATCCCCAGTACCACAAAATAACGTTTTCTTTTGGTTTGGTGACATGGGGCTGGCATAAACAATTACATTCTGGGCTTATTTTCTTGTTTTTATTGAGGTATTTGGTCTTTATTTTCCCTTTCTTTTGTTGCCACTGTTGTATAATGACTAGATGTCTCATCTGGTTTGCACAAGTGTTTTCTGTAGTCGTACTCACTTGTATTCTTGTTGCAGTGCTCTGGGAGGTTGTTGGGATGCATACACACGTGCTTGATAGGGGCTGAATTGCCAGTTGAAGTGCCCACACATCTTTAGTTGTGGAGCTTCCCAGGCTTCCACATCTCAATTGTGGTGCTCATATAAAACCCGATGACCCGGTAGTGATGCCAGGGGTTACAAATGGCAGAGCTGCCCGGATCATGCTTAGGCACATATGGACAACACCAGGGACTGACTCATGACCTCAGGTTACAGGGAAGATGCTTTGTGCCCCTGAGTCATTCTCCAGGCCCCTTTCCCTTATCTTGTTTTCAGCTGTCTGAGTGGGTGAGTTCTGTGTTGCATGCGCAACCAAGTCTTGCAGAAGCGCTGATGACTGAAGCTGATTTAGGTGACAGCTCCAAAGATTTAGGATTTCCGGAAATGCATTAGCATTTTTGAATTGTCCTTAGCACTGTAATGCTGGTTTGCCAGGGAGTGACTTCCTCTGAGCCTCTAGAAGCATGACACATGGTGAAGGGGGAACCCTGAGGGTTCAGGCTACTTGTTCAGAATGATTACAAGGTATAAGAAAAATTGTTGGATTTTAGGTATTTGCTTAATGATAAATCATGTGTGGGGAATGTAAAGGGGGGGAAGGGTCAGCACGGAGGCAATTTCCTTGACAAGCTGAGCAGTACTACTTGTTGGGGCAGTGAGTCAGAATATTTGATTTTAAGAATGACTCAGAAAATATAGGCTCCTGAAAAACTGTGTCCTAAAGGTATCCAACAGTCTTTAAGTGAAAAATAGTCAATGGTAGCACTGTAGCACTGTAGCACTGTCCTCCCGTTGTTCATCGATTTGCTCAAGTGGGCCCAGTAACATCTACATTTTGAGACTTGTTACTGTGTTTGGCATATTGAATATATCACAGGTAGCTTGCCAGGCTTTGCTCTGCGGGTGAGCAAGATATTGATAGTAATATTTTTACTATTGTATAAGAAGTAAGTGTTATTTTATTTTGAATGTTTATGGCCTAACTGAATCTTGCTGTTATGAATTGGGATTCTTTTGGAATAGCCAACTCAACTAAAGTTTTTCCCCTCTTTGAAAGGAATGCAATGTTAATTCTGGGGCACTGATGCCTTACAATGCCTGATCAAGACAAAAAGGTGAAGACCACAGACAAATCAGCCGATAAAAAACAGCAAGGAATCACTACCAGGTAACCCAACACCCAGTCGCTTTAATTATTAACCCAGCCGTTGGCCAACTCCCAGAGTCAGTGGCTTCCTAAGGCAGAGCAGACCCTGACAATGGCTACTCTGGGAGACAGTGTTTACCCAAAGGTCGGGTGGGTCGTGGTCGTGGCTGGAGTTCGAAAGGGAAGGTTCCCTGTGCAGGCTGCAGTCCTTTGATATAGCCATCAGGGGTAACTCGACCAAACTCGCCTGGGTTCTCCGTGGCTTGACATTGTGTTCTTCTTTCTCCTAGGGATTATTCAGATCTTAAAAGACTTCGTTGCCTTTTGAACGTTCAATCAAGCAAGCAACAGGTAGTGTTTCCCAAGAACGTGCATGCCTTAGTAAAAGCCAGACTGCAGGTTTCCAAAGGGATTCCAGTAACAGCTTTAAACATGCAAAATCTACTTGCTTTCCTGTTGGTTGTTTTCTCCTCCTTCTTCTAGTTTCTCTGATACTGGCTTGAAATTCTGCTGAATCTTAGCACCTACAACCTGTCATTCTCCTCTCATGACTGGGAACTCTTACCTTCTAATTAGGAAACCTTGAATCAATTTCTAAAGTACTCAACAGGAAAGATTGAAGGGTAAAAGTATTTACCACCACACACCACCTCTTAGATATTAAAAAATTGACGAAGTTACATGAGTAAGTTAATCCCCCAAAGTGGGACATTTTAACATGTGAAACATTGAAACCCAAAGTGCCCAATGAAGAGGTGAGAAAAAGTAGCATATTCCCTCGCTGAGTACCCACTGTTCAACTTCTCGGCATGTTAGGGTCATTGATTCTCCCCACACCCTATTTCCCAAACTTTCAGTCTTCACCCCACCCCTCCGTCCTTATGCGGTTCCCTCACTATAGGACCATTCTTGAGGTTGCCTTTAAATCACATCTCACTACAAAAGAAAAGGAGTGAAGAGATCTGTGAATGTGTCTTTTTGGTTTTATTTGGTCCCATTTTAGAGAATCTGTGAGTATAGGCCATACGTGGAGGTTTGGGGAGCAACACACCCATGACAATGTGAAGATATTCACAACAACTACTTGGCTTTGCAACTGCTTAAGATAGGACTAAAAAGCTAGGATCCTAGTTCCAAACCCTACTGAGCAATACCTTTTTAGGTCGATTTGTCTAAAGAGCTTGAGTGGTAATCTAATTCAAATGACTCCGGCTATAGCAGGTAAAAATGTGCAAACTTATCAAACACCTTTTATTTATGTATTTATAGTGGGGAATGGCTTTCAGATGTCATCTTTAAAAAAAGGAATTTCTGTTTTTTCAAAGGATTTTATTATTGTTTTAAAAAACATTTTATTAATCAAAAGACCCTAACTTTAACAACCAAATTTAGAAAGGTGTTCATCAAGAGGCAGACTGCCAGGGGGGAGCCTGGGAACACTGGTGCTGGGATCGATACTGCAATATTGTATGCCTAAAACTCAGCTATGAATAATTTTGTAAATCACAGTTCTTTAATTTAAAAAATGGTGGAGTTTTTTTTATTAAAGTTTAATAATAAAAATTTAAATCTTTAAATTTAAAATTTAAATTTAGAGATTTAAAAATTATTCATAGTTGAGTTTTGGGCATCTTATATTCCAGAATTCATCGGCCAACACCAGTGTCAACTTCCATCCACAAATGTTCCCAGGTTCTCTCATATACACACCCCCAGCAGCTTGACATCTTGGTAGGCACCTTTTCAATCTTGATTTTTAAAGGATCATTCTATGATTTCAGTGTTGTTGACTCTGTCGTTTGAATATTTAGCTCTATCATTCCTTGATACCCCTGATATACCCAAATTTCCTTGTCCCCTACCCCCATTTTTTCTCATCTATCTTTTCTGTAATGATTGTCTGTACTTTTAATGCTCGTACGCTGGCATCTACTGCATCCATTGAAGACCTTATGGTACAAGCGCGAAAGATCAAGTACGACATCATTGGTATGACCGAAACGAGAAGACATCAATCACATCATGCCATTTTCGACACTGGAGAAGAACTGTTCCTTGGAACATGTGATAAAAGAGGCATCGGTGGTGTCAGTATCCTTGTCAACACAAACTTAGCCAGGAGCATTGATTTATTTGAATGCCTAACAACCCGAATCGGACGATTACACTTGAATAGATGTGGCTCACTACCGGCAGTTTCTATCTTTGTTGTCTATGCACCAACATCCAGTTATGGTGAAAGAGAAACTGAGAAGTTCTACATGGAGCTGGAGAAGTTCTATAAAGAAGATCACACCTTCTACAAGATCATTGTCGGTGATTTTAATGCCAAGATAGGACCAAGAAGATCAGTCGATGAACTCCACATCGGGACCCATGGCCTGGAATGGAATGAACAGGGTGACAGACTGTCTGAGTTCATCATGTCAACCAAAACCTTCCATGGTAACTCACAGTTCCAAAAGGCTGAATCTAAATGTTGGACATGGGAGTCTCCCGATGGACGGTTCCACAATGAAATAGACCACATCATATTCAATCGGTGGTTTTGCCTAACCGATGTTGCTGTTGTCCCAAAATTCCAAATGGGATCAGACCACCGTCTTCTTCGTACAAAATTCTACCTCACAGAATGAGGAGAAAAGAATGCAAGGTTTAAGAAGAGGACTCCCAGAACGACCACCAACTGGGAGCTCTTTGGCTCTGTTGTGGCAACATGGGAAGATGCCGTCATTGACAACATTGATGAGGAATACGATTGAATGATTCAGCACCTCCATGATTGTGCGAAGAATGCCAAGAGAGAGATAACCACAAAAAACCGCCTTTCTTCGAACACTCTTGAACTTATTCGCCAACGTGGCTTGGCACATGCCTCAGGCAACCACAAGCGAACATCCGAACTGGCAAAACAGTGCAGAGAAGCCATCAAGGATGACCTCAAAAACAAGAGAGCAGCAGTACTAGTAGATGCAGCAGAAGCTGGGAAAAGCATTCGTAATGCCCGCCTGTCCTTCATCAACTACAAAACCAAGATGACTGCCCTCTGACATCATGATGGATCTATCACATGTTCCAGAAGGGCAATGGAGAAGATTAGTCATGACTTCTACTCAGATCTCTTTAATAGCCACGTCCACTTGCCCACATACCACATACCACATGATGGATATGTCGTTCCCAATGTTCTCCCTTCCGAAATCCAACATGCCATCTCGTCGGTAAAGAAACAAAGAGCACCTGGCCCAGACAAGATCAGACCTGAACACCTGAAGAACTTACCATCAGTACTCATCAATACATTGGCTCGGCTCTTCACACACTACCTGTCTGAATGCAAGGTTCCATCCCATTGGAAAACCAGCAGGACTGTACTACTATACAAGAAGGGAGACATCCACGACATTGGCAACTATCGCCCAATCTGCCTATTGTCTGTCATCTACAAACTGTTCACTCGAGTCATCCTGAATAGGATTAACAGAACACTAGATGAAGGACAACCATGTGAACAAGCCGGATTCCGAAAAGGATTCAGTACCATCGACCATATCCACACGATTACTAAGCTCATTGAGTTTTCTCGGGAGTTCAAGATGCCGCTCTGTCTAACATTCATTGATTTAAAGAAGGCCTTTGATTCTGTTGAGACGGAAGCGGTCATGGAAGCCCTAGCCAATCAGGGCATACAAATTCAATACATCAGGATCCTTCGTGAGCTCTATTGCGGATTCACTACCAAGATCTCACCATTCTACAAAGAAGTAATCATCCATATCAAGAGAGGGGTTCGGCAGGGTGATACCATTTCACCAAAACTCTTCAGTGCCACCCTCGAGAACATCATGCGACGACTGAGATGGGAAAGCATGGGAGTGAAGATAGATGGTCGGCAACTACACCACCTCCGCTTTGCTGATGACATCATTCTAATAACACCAAACATTAGCCAAGCGGCACAAATGCTGAACGACTTTGACTGTGAATGTGGAAAGGTCAGACTACTGCTGAATCTTAAGAAGACAATTTTTATGAGAAACAGCCTTGTTCCTGACGCTCCATTCGCTCTCAACGGAACCAGCATCTCCGAATGCAACAGTTATATATACCTAGGTCGAGAAATCAACATGATGAATGACCTGGCACCTGAGTTGCGCAGGAGGAAGAGAGCGGCTTGGAATGCCTTCAAGAGCGTTGAAGAAATAACTAAAAGGACAAAGAACCTCCAGCTACGAGCACATCTCTTTGATTCCACTGTTCTTCCTGCATTAACATATGCCTCAGAGACCTGGACCCTACGAAAACAGGATGAGAACGCTATTCGGGTCTCTCAAAGAGGAATCGAAAGAGCTATGCTTGGAATATCACGATTCACTCAAATGAGGGATAGAATCTGGAGTTCTGATCTTCGTCAACACTCAAGAATCAGGGACGCTGTCTCATTTGCCAAGACATCAAAAATCAGATGGGCTGGACACGTAATAAGGTTTACAGACAACTGCTGGACTAGAGCCATTACTGATTGGATTCCACGGGACATCAAAAGATCACGTGGATGCCCACCTACAAGATGGTCAGATTTCTTCGTCAAGACCCTAAATGATCGGTTTGAGGCTCTGCATGTTCCTAGAACGAACAGATACCATTGGGCTATGCTAGCACGCAACCGGGATGAATGGAGATGTTACTGGCACCCGCTCGAGTAAATTGATGAATAATGGGGATTTAGTGATTAAGTGATCTTTTCTCCCACTTCTCTTCACTCTGTGTCATTCCTTCTCCTCTTATACTTCTGTTCCTATACTTTGGAGCCAAGACTAATCTATGCATTCACCCCCAACCCCCTTAAACCATTGCATTTCCTCATCTAATTATTCTAAACACCACATAGAAGAGATAACATTCTATGTTTAGGATTTTTTTAAAAAAGGGAATATTTATTATGTTATTACCTGGTACTTTACGTGCATTACACTGTTTAATTAACACAACTTCTGCTTTAACAAATGAGGAAACAGAGGCACAAGATGATAGTGGCTTTTTTAGGATTCAGTATAATAGTATACAGCTCTGAACCCGATACTCCATCTTTGCAATACTTGCTTCTAACCACTGAAATAATTTGCAAGGACTTGGAAATTTAAATTCCACTTTAAAAAAAAGAATTGGGTGATCATTGATTCCACATAAACATGCACTTAAAATATCTTTTCTCCTGTCAACCCCTTCTCTGTTATGAATGTGACAACCCCTGGTCCTCCCTCCCATGCCCTTTCCTTTCTCAGCCTCTGATTTCAGAAGTCCCTCTTATTCTGTCTCTACACTTGCTCTGGGATCTTTCTGCCTCAATG